CTTCTTGACCCTTCAAAACGTAGCCGTGTCTCGTTCTTGGGAGGGAATCTGCAGCTTAATCACCTAGCTCTTTTAATAGCTCTGCCTTGCTCTCTACTTGGATCCAGTGAATGGGAATAAGCAACTCCATTACTGAACAGCAGCTTGCCGGGAAAAAGGACGTCTCCAACGGCTGAAACCCTCTCACCAACTGGGGTAGCCGTTACACATATTAATGGCTTTCAGTCTGTTTTATCATATCCCCCTCTCCCTTCTCCCCCCCGAGCTATACATATTAATGGCTTTCAGTCTGTTTTATCATATCCCCCTCTCCCTTCTCCCCCCGAGCTATACATATTAATGGCTTTCAGTCTGTGTTATCATATCCCCTTCTCCCCCCCAAGCTATACATATTAATAGCTTTCAGTCTGTTTTATCATATCCCCCTCTCCCTTCTCCCCCCCGAGCTATACATATTAATGGCTTTCAGTCTGTTTTATAATATCCCCCTCTCCCTTCTCCCCCCGGAGCTATACATATTAATGGCTTTCAGTCTGTTTTATCATATCCTCCTATTAATGGCTTTCAGTCTGTTTTATCATATCACCCTCTCCCTTCTCCCCCCCTCCGAGCTATACATATTAATGGCTTTCAGTCTGTTTTATCATATCCCCCTCTCCCCTCTCCCCCTGAGCTATACATATTAATGGCTTTTAGTCTGTTTTATCATATCCCCCTCTCCCTTCTCCCCCCGAGCTATACATATTAATGGCTTTCAGTCTGTTTTATCATATCCCCCTCTCCCTTCTCCTCTCGAGCTATACATATTAATGGCTTTCAGTCTGTTTTATCATATCTCCCTCTCCCTTCTCCTCTCGAGCTATACATATTAATGGCTTTCTGTCTGTTTTATCATATCCCCCTCTCCCTTCTCCCCCCCGGGCTATACATATTAATGACTTTCAGTCTGTTTTATCATATCCCCCTCTCCCTTCTCCCCCCTGAGCTATACATATTAATGGCTTTCAGTCTGTTTTATCATATCCCCCCCTGCCTTCTCCCCCCAAGCTATACATATTAATGGCTTTTAGTCTGTGTTATCATATCCCCTCTCACTTCTCCTCCCGAGCTACACATATTAATAGCTTTCAGTCTGTTTTATCATATCCCCCTCTCACTTCTCCCCCCGAGCTATACATATTAATGGCTTTCAGTCTGTTTTATCATATCCCCCTCTCCCTTCTCCTCCCCCCACACCCCGAGCTATACATATTAATGGCTTTCAGTCTGTTTTATCATATCCCCCTCTCCCTTCTCTCCCCGAGCTATACATATTAATGGCTTTCAGTCTGTTTTATCATATCCCCCTTTCCCTTCTCCCCCCGAGCTATACATATTAATGGCTTTCAGTCTGTTTTATCATATCCCCCATCTCCCTTCTCCCCCCCCGAGCTATACATATTAATGGCTTTCAGTCTGTTTTATCATAACCCCTCTCCCTTCTCCCCTCCCCACCCCCCGAGCTATACATATTAATGGCTTTCAGTCTGTTTTATCATATCCCCCTCTCCCTTCTACCCCCGAGCTATACATATTAATGGCTTTCAGTCTGTTTTATCATATCCCCCTCTCCCTTCTCCCCCCTGAGCTATACATATTAATAGCTTTCAGTCTGGGTTTTATCATATCCCCTCTCCCGCTTCTCCCAGGCTATACATGTGTGAGCTTTCAGTCCTGTTTTATCATGTCCCCTCTCCCCTCTCCCCTAGGGCTATACATGTGTGAGAAACTTTCCGGTCCTGTTTATCATATCCTCTCCTTCTCCCAAGCTATATGTGTGGCTTTTAGTCTGTTTTATCATATCCCCCTCTCCCTTCTCCCCCCGAGCTATACATATTAATGGCTTTCAGTCTGTTTTATCATATCCCCCTCTCCCCTCTCCCCCTGAGCTATACATATTAATGGCTTTCAGTCTGTTTTATCATATCCCCTCTCCCTTCTCCCCCCCAAGCTATACATATTAATGGCTTTCAGTCTGTTTTATCATATCCCCCTCTCCCTTCTCCCCCCCGAGCTATACATATTAATGGCTTTCAGTTTGTTTTATCATATCCTCCTCTCCCTTCTCCCCCCAAGCTATACATATTAATGGCTTTCAGTCTGTTTTATCATATCCCCCTCTCCCTTCTCCCCCCGAGCTATACATATTAATGGCTTTCAGTCTGTTTTATCATATCCCACTCTCCCTTCTCCCCCCGAGCTATACATATTAATGGCTTTCAGTCTGTTTTATCATATCACCCTCTCCCTTCTCCCCCCCTCCGAGCTATACATATTAATGGCTTTCAGTCTGTTTTATCATATCCCCCTCTCCCCTCTCCCCCTGAGCTATACATATTAATGGCTTTTAGTCTGTTTTATCATATCCCCCTCTCCCTTCTCCCCCCGAGCTATACATATTAATGGCTTTCAGTCTGTTTTATCATATCCCCCTCTCCCCTCTCCCCCTGAGCTATACATATTAATGGCTTTCAGTCTGTTTTATCATATCCCCTCTCCCTTCTCCCCCCCAAGCTATACATATTAATGGCTTTCAGTCTGTTTTATCATATCCCCCTCTCCCTTCTCCCCCCCGAGCTATACATATTAATGGCTTTCAGTTTGTTTTATCATATCCCCCTCTCCGTTCTCCCCCCCAAGCTATACATATTAATGGCTTTCAGTCTGTTTTATCATATCCCCCTCTCCCTTCTCCCCCCCGAGCTATACATATTAATAGATTTCAGTCTATTTTATCATATCCACCTCTCCCTTCTCCCCCCCCAAGCAATACATATTAATGGCTTTCAGTCTGTTT